TTACCAAAATTTTTAAAAACTGTCATAAAATTTGTTTGATAATTTTTTTGTTTATAAATGATTGTCTCAGTTTGTAAATTTGAGGAGAAAACGTAAATTCAAAAATAAGTTATGTTGGTTTTTAAATAAAAATTTAAAAATTTCACTAGCATTTTTTTTTTTAAAAAAATTTCAACTAGCATTTTTTTTAAAAAAAAATTTCCTAGCTTTTTTTTTCTTAATTTTTTTTTTCAATGAATTTTTTTTCCGACTATACTAACCGAGGGGCATTGGTAATGCTACATTAAACCTTAGGAGGGATTGTAATTCTAAAATGTGAAGGATGTCAATGTATTTACCCAATAAGAGTAAAATTGGTATTTAAAAAATTAGAAAGGCTGAGGAGGGAATCTATAACGAAACTTTAAACTCAGGGGAGAGATGTAATTTTCAAAGATAAAGATAAGAACTGTAATAACATAAATCTCAAGAGGGTGTCAGTGTAATTCAACAAAGATATATATACTTTGCCCAAAACCCTCTAATCTTGTGTCATGTGTTGATTGTCGAAATTTTTAGTCTCTACCAAAAATAATAATAATAATAAAAATAACCACCATGGTTGGTGGGCTGGTGGAGGAAGCTGCCCATTCCCTGCCGAGGAACCAGGGTCGATTTTTAGGAGGGGTATTTGAGATCACTCCCTGTGAGCAATGCCTTTACTCCCCTCGATCCCTGGCTTCTGCTGCGGCGTGAGGTTGCCCTCCATTGGTACCCTGGTGGTGAGTCCCTCACTTGGTGGGGGTTAATTCTTAGCTGGCAACCGGTTACCCGGGGCTAGGGCCCAACGGGTGCTGTGATGACACCACAAAACCCTTTTTTTCCGTTCAAAAAAAATAATAAAAAAAATAAATTAAAAATTACTTAATTATTAATTTTAGAAATAATACTTTAAAATTATGAAACTTACCCGTAAACCTTACTTGTCGGGAGAAAGAGATGCTACCCAAGATAACCAATACTATAAAAAATAAAAAAAAATAATAAAAAAATATTGTTACATATCTTTGAAATATCAGGTAGTGTTATTGACGTAGTTTTTTATATTATTTATATGAAAACACTTAAACTATTGACAATTATTTTGTTATTTTTTTTAGGAGTATTTTGTTTGACTTTTCTCAACTATAAAAGTATACAATAAATCTCACAAACTAATGAGAAGTATTGTCATGTCCCCTAAACTAAAAAAAAAAAATAAAAGGCAAATTCTATTAAATCCCTCAAACAATCGATCATTTACACTTTACCCTCTAATGTTTTAAATCCAACAATTATCCCCTCAAACTATTTAAATTTAATATTAAATCCTTTTGTCAGTCATCTGTTAGATATTTGGATAAAAATTATCAAGTGTTGTCGCAGATGATAATTATATTAAATTTTATAACAAATTGCTCTATTTATTTTTATAAAATTTAATATAATCATCATGTTATAGCACTTGACAATTTTTCATTTAAATATGTAACAAATGACTAACAAAAGAACTTAATGTTCAAATTCAAATATTTTGATAGGGGTAATTGTTGGGTTTAAAACTTTAGAAGGTAAGTATAATAATGATCGATAGTTTGAGGGGATTTAATACAATTTGCTCAAAAATATAAATGAATCCTATAACCTGTTAACATATTTCACTTGGACCTATTTCATTAAAAGGCTTAATTAGTACGTTTTCATAGTTTATGGGATTTATTTGTATATTTTTCTAGTTTAAAAGGGCAAAATGACTGCATTTCTCCATAGTTTTTTAGTGGTCTAATTTGTACACTTTTATATTTAAAGGAGTCAAAATGATACTTCTCAATAATTTGAAAGTGTCCGTGTAAATAATCCTAAAAAATACGTACTTCTTAGTATGTGAATTTTTTTATCTCTTAATTATCTAAGTAAAAATGAGTCGATGTATCTCACTTAAAAACTTTATATTCAATAATTAATTTAAATATCATGTATGTAAATAATATTACGTAATATACTAAATTATTTTTAATAATTACACGGTTGTTTAAAAAGTGTTAAAAAAAATTAAAATTTTTAGTATTACGAAATACAAAAGAAAAAAGTAATGTAAATTAAATAAATAAAAAAGCAAGAAATTAATTATTATTATTATTTTTACTTCCAAAAGGGGCCAAAATACGACATTGTCATGCGGTTAGCAACTTTGCAGTCTGCACGGACATGTCTGTTGGTCAACTGGGAAGTAGGGTCTGCGTGGCTTGGGCTCGAACGTTAATATTTTATAATATATTAATTAATAATATATTTATAAAAAATTAAATTAATTAGATATTATTTATCCATTTTCTAGTCATATTTATATTTAATAAAAATAAATAATAATTTTGATTTAAAGTATTAAATAAATACAAATGTAAATAGATAAATGGACAAACGATATGATAATTTTTTTCAGATATGTTTTACTTAATATATTATAAAATGTGAAAGATTTGAATTATTAAAATGAGTCCGAAAATGAGCCTATTTCGCCGCACAACAGGGGCTATTGCGCAGTCCACGCAACAGCATCCCCACTTCCTGTCACATGTTTGTCCCTCAAAAAAATGCTATAATTATAATTATAGATCAAATTCACTTTATCTTTTAAAAAAAAAAACTCAAAAATTCTACCAAAAGTTCTACAAAATGTCTCATATAGGTGTGAGATCCACATAAGACTCATATGGTGTGAGCCTCACACTCATGTGAGACATTTGATAGAAATTTTAAATAGAATTTTTGAAAATTTCTAACATTACTCTTTGATAAAAGTAATGACAATTTTAATATCCAAAAGTCTCTTCTTTTTTTTTTATAATTTTTTTTTTTTTTTTGGCTGGCATCTGATTCATGAATACGTCTTGCTAACCTGATTCCAAAAAAAAAAAAAAAACCAAAGAATACTTCTTCTAATCAGTGTTCTTAAACTATAAGTAAAGACAATTTAAGAACTTTTTATTAATACAGTTTTATTAACATTAAATAATTTTAAATATGACCAAAACAAACAAGAAAATGGCTCCTCTCACAATTTTTGGGACAGCTGGCCTCTAAGAGTATTTCAAAAATTATTACTCGAAACGGACAGGTTTGCTATTAGGGCAAATATTTCTTTCCAGTTTATTGTGGGATCGAAAGGCTAGTGAGTTTCATTTACAAGTTTTAATAATTTAAAATTATTTAATATGTAGAATTCGTCAAATATTTTATATTTATAAAAAAATTATATTTATCAATGATAAATATAATTTTTAAAAAATAAATTATTAACAAAAATATGTTTTGATTAAAGGGTAAATAGTCATCTATCAAAGTAATTTTTTTGCGGGCATTAAGTATTCGACGAGCTCTACACATTAGACAGTTTGAATTATCAAAACAGAATCCTTAATGAGCCCCGCAAGTCCAACAATATTCTATAATCCACATTAGACTGGAGAGAAGTCTCCCTTTGATATTATTACCTACACTCTCACGAAATGGTGAATGCAAAATTCTAGGCTGTTCTACAACACTGAAGAGGGACCAGAAATATGAACATTTACAGTATATGTCAGCCTCAAAATCAGTATACAAATATGCTAAAAATGTGATGCATTTTTCACTGAAAAATGCATGTCTCGATCCTCAAAAAATTATAAAAAAAAAAGAAGAGACTTTTGGATATTAAAATTGTCATTACTTTTATCAAAGAGTAATGTTAGAAATTTCAAAAATTCTATTAAAATTTCTATCAAATGTCTCACATGAGTGTGAGGCTCACACAATATGAGTCTTATGTGGATCTCACACCTATATGAGACATTTTGTAGAACTTTTGGTAGAATTTTTGAGTTTTTTTTTTTAAAAGATAAAGTGAATTTGATTCTATAATTATAATTATAGCATTTTTTTGAGGGACAAACATGTGACCAGGAAGTGG